TCAAGAACTTTCGAAAATTTGTAAATGGTTTAACTTTATGGTCGTTATTATAATTAATATTAACTTCTCATAACGTATTTCTGAACACCAATCATTAATTTTCTGTCATTCTTCAAAAACTTTAAAAAATTTAAATTTCAAAAGTTAACGATATTTTTATGTATATTCATTAGACATCAACAGTAATGTCAAGCAAACGCACATAAACAAGTGTCTTATAAATGCTTATAAAAATTGAAAAATATAAGGAAATTTTATTTCATAATAGATTTTTGATAAAAGCAAACTATAATATTATATAAATTTATAAAATAAAATACAATTATTACTTTTGTTTTTAATAATCTTACATACACTTTACACATCTATCTGATTAATCTTAAGAATCACATATATAATATTATGTGTGTGTGTGTATTAATATATTGTTATTTTTGAACAAATTATATATATATTGAAACAAATCTCCCCACTCTTTTGAATCGATTGACTGTCAATATCTATAGTAGGTATTTAATTCTATTCAGTTTCGGAATAGTTGTTTAGGAAATCTTATTACACGTGTCAATTTTGAGAATCGAGTTGTTAGACTAATATAAATCAAGTTTTTTAAGTTATATTTTACAGATCCTAGAAACTTATAACTATAAATACTAGGCTAATCTAACATGATGTAACAACGCATAAATGTACATATTTAATATCTGAAATGGTAATAATACAATACACTGGTAATACCTTAGTAATCCTGTTTTAGGGTGGTATTGAAGATCACTGGAGTCTGGAGTTACGAAATATGAGTCGAACAATTAAATATATTATTAAATTTTATTTAATATAATTTAATATGATTTGACTATAATTAGTAATTACACGTAGTAAAGTAAATCGATTAAAAAATACATTTTAAAAAAGTAGAGTTAATTGCTGTTATTCTATACACTTATTGAGATCCAAACCCGGCTAGATACTGTTTATGTAAATACTTTTATAAAGCTAGTAATCGACGTATCTCATAAATGATAAATCGAAAGTCATTTTACAAAAATCAGACATGTTCACTTTTTAAAATAATTAATATCAATACGAAATTCTTTATCTCATATAAAATAAATTATGATATTTATGAGAACTCCATAAATATTAATTAGATTTGTACCATGGTTGTGAAACTAAAATAAAGATATTTCTTCCACGAAATTGTTTTCATGGAAAATTTGCATAAATTCATAACAATGTCAAATAATAATTATGTTATCAAAATAAATCAAATTAGGTTTTTTTTTTTATTATTATTTTTATTAGCTTCCAACATTTCTAATTATTAAAGCTCTTCAATTATTAATACATAAATGCTAAAAATTAAAAGTCAAGAAACAAAAATATAGGGGAAAAAAAATCAAAAAAAAGCAACAAAAACAAAAAACAAAATCATTAGAGATAAAAGTAATTAAGCTTAGTGTGATATAAAAAAAAAAACAAAACGCGCATAAAACAAAAATAAAAAATAAAATTTTATTTGGTAGTTACAAATTTATAATGTCATTAAATTAAGAATCCAACATTTTTAAAAAAGTTTATTTTGATGATAATAATGTATTTTGAAACTTAGTTTAAAAATATTTAAACGTAACACGTCCAACTGACGTGATATTATTCATATGTAACATTTGGAGTAATTCTTAATGAAAACTATAGAGTGATAGGCAATTAGGGAAAATGTGAGTGAAATCACATACGTATTATACTTCCTCGACGTGGTGTGTACATAAGAGAGAATGTAAAATGCATGCGCAGGAAATAAGTTGTGTTTAAATTAAATTCGGTTTTTAGCAAGAAAAATTAATAACTAGATTATAAAATACTCGTGTATCTAGCTCAGTATAATATAGAATAATATTATATATAATAAATACACTCATGATTGGATGATTGTAAACAGTACAGAATTTCTTTACACAATTTAAAATGCAGTTAATAATTCGGAAGAACTTTTTCGGACATTGGCGAAACTTTCAGATATTTATCTTTTTGGTGAACTGTTTTTTAAACATTGTATGTATATACACAAAACTGCGTAAGCGTTCAAATAAAATATAATCGGATTTTCCCAAAAAAGCAGAACTATCTCAGTTATTGTTGGAATACGGAAAGGACGTTTCGCGGAATTATGCAAAGCACAATTGTTCCCATCTAGACATTTTTGTACATATAACATATACGGAGCGTGTAAGTTTGTGGCTTAATCTTATGTAGACTGCCTTTGCATATTATGTACAAGACTCCACTATGATATATCTATGTTTTATTTCCACAAGAAAATATTATATCGATTAAGTAAACAAGAGATGTCGGAAAAAAACACGAAAATTGTAACGCGAATATTATTTTGGTGAAACACAAACACTCAGTTTATATATTTTATTATTTTAAAACTTTAATATTACACATCGAAAAATATATTTATTTAAAATATATAATTTATTTACTTTAAACTTTTAAAGAATAAATTGAGAGTATAAGATTAACAACTGAGTACGAGTATATATATATATTCAAATCATATTAAAAATGGCGAAGTTAATATTATCGATTAATATTTAATACAACAAATAAAGTATCAGTAATTTTTTTATTTGAAGTTTTTTTCGTTTTTGTACAATATTCAAAACAATTCACTTTTACGGATACAGAGGAATATATTTTGGTAATCCAAAATTAGTTCATAATTTAAATTTTATGAAATGAATAGTACTAAAGTAAGTTGTTAGTATGTTCAATCTCATATTGAAATATATTTAGCTAACGAAGACATAACACATATCTTGATAGGTATCGCTGTTGAAACATGATTTTGTTTAAGATAAGTTTGAAAAATTCAATTGAAAGCATGTTGTTATTACTTGATAAAGACTTGATTAAGAATTAAAAACAGTCGGTAATACTGTACTTAAAATTTGTCAATACTACAATTTAATAAATTGTGCTTAATTATTTTAGTATCGTTTTATATTTTATTGATATAATTTATGTCATATAATGTATTTAAAATTCGAATTATTGTTAAAATTTTCTATACCTATTTATATAGTAAGAAGTAAGCTGTGTAAAATACTTAAATGGTAACCTTGAACATTGCAATTCGATACATAAATTAATATGTTTAGTTGAAAATTTAAATAGTGAATACAAAACTAAAAATCAATGGGTTTTAAATAAACTAATCTATCAATTAATACCAACAATATAATATGAAATATAGGCATGTAGTAAAAAGTTTAGAAATGTATGGATTAAATAAATAGAAAAAACTTTAAGGATGTTCCTATCTATAGATAAGTATGTAATATTATATTAGACACGTATCAGCTGTTTCGTACACGTAGACTAAAAGTATATTAGTAGAAAAAATTTTGAAATTGTAATAATTGTATTTTTAATCGAAATCATACTTATATAAACGACAGCATTCAAAAAGAATAAAAATAACTATGCGTGACGCATTTATTACCTAGCATATACCATATGTTTTATATTATAATTATAAGCGGTTTTAATAATTTTCTATTATGCTATTATAATTTATTATTATTATATAAATGTTAATACTAAAAAAAAACGGCATTCGATTGATATTGATTTTTAGTTCTAGAATAAAAATTTAAGAAAAATAAATAATAACAGAATATTATGTGTTACTAACATAATATTATATACTATATTTCTCTCTAACATACTATTATATATTTAAATGCATCTGTAGGTGTACCTATGTATTATAAAATATAATTTTGCTAGACTAAATACATAAAGAATTACAAGACGAGTTGAAAATTGCAACAGTTATCAGCTTTATAAGAGGGCAAAGAATCCAATGATTAGGACATACGATACAAAGAAGCGAGGATGGTATAAGTACAACAACCCTAAATTGGAAGCCAATAGGAAAGAAACCTCGAGGAAGTCCCAGGAAAATGTTGATGGATGTTGTGGAAGAAATCCTTGAAAGATTGGAAGTACAGGAATGAAGGGAAGTAGTTCAGAATAGGGAAAAATGGAGAGATATTGTGATAGCAGCCAAAACTCTTAGAGAGAATTAAGTGGCAGAGGAAAAAGAAGAAGAAGAGAAATACATGATTTATTGTTTTATTAACTTAAGTTTTTCAATAATTTAATCTATAATTATTATTAATAGATATATTATATTTACATTCTACCTAAAATTAAAATATATTGTCATAAGTTAACACCTCAGTTATATTATTATAAAAAACTTCATGTATTCAACTGTTATAAAATAATAACGAATAAAGTATGATGGTGTATTTTATGTTATAACTTCTTAAACTATTAAATTAATATATTATTATTACGTAAAAAAGTATGCATTTCTGTTATTTTGGTTTAATTATTTTTTTCATGGTGATTCACTTAACAATTATTTTAAGTGTATCATTTAATTATTAAAAAAAAACACAATAATCTTATAACTTATAAGAATTATAAATTATCAATTTTATTTGTTATCCATAAGGCAGTGACATTAAGTTGTTACTTAGATTTCTTAGGATATTATTTTATTAAGTATGTGAAAAAAATAAAAATAATATAAGTAAAATAATTAAAACATAATCTCAATGATTTACGGTTCCTAAACTGTTTTAATAATAAGAAGAAAATGATTGAAAGACAAATCATGATAATAATATTATATCGTATAATATAAGGTAAGTATAGGCAGCACATAATTTAGGATTTAAGAGTTTTTTTTTTTGTTATTGTAGAAATAATATGTTAATTACCAAATATTTATACGTTATTGGTATACTTGGTGCAATAAATAAAATTATCATTATATATATATTACCTAACCTTAGCATTATTACCATACCCACTTATTATACAATTTGTTATATTATCGATACAATTTCAACGTTCAACGTCTACAAAAAAGTTTTTTGTATATCATATGAATTATTATAATAATGATCAATCCTTACCTGTTGAATGGAGTGCAGCTGTGTCCTTTGACAGCTGATACTTGGACTGCTGTCCATCGGGCTTAGAATTCATCGCGACGGCGGTCGGCTGTATCTAAAAACAGTTAAAGAGAAAAAACGGATTTCAAAATATTCTTGATTAAATTATGACATTCATTAATCATTTAACTTGGTTTTATGTGTGAGTTCACGATAAAGCAAGAAGCAAAAAAGGGTTCTAAGTGAGATGTATAGGGAGGGAAATGATAGCATAGGGTGTAGCGTACTTACACAACATAATAATATTTTAATATTATATATGTTTTCGCTGCATTTAACGTGTGCCTGCAAAAGTTTATATATATATATACACGTCGTCGTGGCGCGGAAGAATTCTATGAGACGTATAGTTTACCGAGAGTGGTCCTAAAACTTAAATGATTGCCAATAAAACATAAAAAGAACCTTACAATATGAGATAAATCAAAATAATTCAAAACAAATAATATATAATATCAATAACAAATAAAATAATAATAACAATTCGTTACAGAATTTGTCAGAAAAATAAACCTAGGTTTAATATTTAAATGTATGAGAAATAATAAAATGCATTATATACTCGTGTCATTGACAGTGGCGTCATTTAAGGTGAGAAAAGGAGAAGATAGGTTGACGAGTTGGGAATTTTATTACGTTGTTGGTGAGATAAATATTTATACTTAACATTAATATTATCAAGTATATCGATAAGATTTTAAATTTTCATATATATTATATTTATAGTTACGTATATTATATTACATGTTATGTATATATTACATATGTAAATAATTTAGTGATTGACAATTGCCATAATTATTAAAATTATATATATATATATTGTATCATGCATTGATCTCATATAATTTATCTATTGCTATATCATGTTTTACTTTTAAAAATATTAAATAATGAATATCTAAAAACAGGTATCTATATGTATTAATAATAATTGTTCGACCGACTTCAAGAGCTTACCCCTTAAATTGGAGACGAAAATGTTAAAATCAGCACATAATTTATGGGCTAATAACAATTATTTCGTTTCCCTATTTAATAAAATGTGAAATGTCGCCACTGACAACTCGGTGAACAAACAGTTCAATTTATTTGAAACGATCATTATATCTATGATATAGTATGAATTATATTATTACATAATAATAATAACAACAATAATAGCTATGATATAATAATTATTATAATACAGTCGTCGCAGCGGTAGACCATTTTCCTGCCGCCGACGACGATAAGTCGCGTATTTACCGGATTATTCGGAAGCGTATTTCGCTGCAGGGATGACAGTAAGTCGTGTCGTTCCGGCTAGACGATGATCAAGACTTATTGAAGTAACGCAGTGGCACGGTAGTGGCGATGGTGCGAGAAAGTGGAGTGCGCTCGAAGACAGCAGTCGGCTGCAGACGAGCGAATGCCGTCAGAATGGATTTCGCCCGAGAGAAAACAGGGCACGTCGCGTCGACGGTACCCCCCGCGAGGTCCCGGTTGCAGCCGTCCTCGTTAGACCTACCGAAGCCCGGCGTAGGCGTACGGGCCGAACGCGCGCGCGCACGTCAACCGCCTTCCCATGGACGCGAGTCCGCCTTCAACCCCCCCCGAATAGTCCCCCCTCCGACGGTCATCGGTCGCGTTTACCCCCTTTTCGTCCGCTCTAATCACGGTAGTAGCAGCGGCGGGCCTATAGATATAATATTATACGGAATAATACGATATCGATTAGTATGTAGGCAGGACGCGAGATTCGAGCCGTGGGACAATTTTTTTCTCACCACCCATCCTTTGCGTATTGTACTCACAGGTCTATATATTTGCGTACGTACCAAACGACAGAAATAAAAACACAAAACCGACGCTCTGATATAATTTATCGGTAGTGAATTTATTTAATAAATATTATTATACAACATATTATGTCACTGATACGGACTTAAAATTATTATTTATATAATATTACAAAACTAGCGAATAAATTAATGTACGCGTATACACCCTGTTGCGGTACGTGCAATAATTTATATAAGCCGAAAAAATTACAAAACAGCTAAATACAATAGAAAATATGATTTAAGAATTTCAATAAGAATTACTATACAATAATATATTATTGAAAGTACTACAAGGGCCGACATAAGGTTTTTTCCCACTCAAGGCAAATCTAATTTACACTACTCTTATTCAATAGTTCAATTTTTTGAGAAGGGAAAAATATAAAAATTAAATATTCAAACAAATATAATGAAAAAAATACAAGGTTTATTTTAAAATTGAAATTATACACGATTATACGTTAAAAATATAAAAAAAATAGAATTACAATATCCTAAGTTTATCCAATAAATTTTATTATGTAAGCTAAATAGATCAACTAATATTTTCATATGTAAAATCAGTCAATATAATTTTAACTCTGAAGGTTCTAAATGATTTTCTTTCAGTAGAAATGATAACAAGTTCATTTGATAGGATTGACACAGACATCACAGACATTGTTAAAATGATGCAAAGTTCTACAATTATGTTTAGTAAAATTGTTATTATTTATAAATTATAATACATTTTAAGTTTTAACACTCCCAATATTGAATACTATTGCAGTTCAATAATTTGGATACTGTTTTATTAAATCATATGTCATTTTAATTGTAATTTTAAACTGCTTTACTGACATCACCATTTTCTAAAAGTGTATAATATGTTCTTTAAATTATTTATGTCATATAAAAAATTAAACATTAACACAACTTTGTCATAATGCATTTGCTGAAATATTTCTTCAAGAAAATTTATTGCCACTTATAATTTATGGTGAAAGTATAATTTAATATTAAATTTAGTCTTTGATAAATTATGATTTCATCGGGTTATTCATAAGAAAAAACCAGTTTATGTTTTTGTAGGTAAATTTAAAATTTTCCACTCTAATTAGCTACCTATTTTGCTATAGCTAACCTTATACCTAATAGATAAAAGTATAAATTCGAAAAAATATTTGCTAATATTACGGTAATAAATTGCAGGCTGCTTAGTCCCACGAAATGAATGTGCACAAAAACTAACTGTATACAAATCGTGATACTATAAGACACGACACGTGACCAATTGGACATGGGGTAAAACCATTGTACATCGGCCGTGAACTTCCAAATATCTCGAATAGCTCACAAACATAATAACATGAGGTACGCGATTATAATCACGAATCATGAATCTTATTAATTTTTAGTTTATGCTCAAAAAATTAATCGCAAAAAATACAGATAAAACGAAAATCCCCTTAATTTTCAAATTACTACTTCATAATATCTCATTTTCTGTAATATTAATAACTAGTATTCTTTACAATATGTATTTATTTTAAAATGAAAAGAATCGAAAATCGCGATCACACCTTTGGTTGAAATTATAAATGAAAAACGGTGATATCATAAACTATTAAAATAAAGAGAAAATGATACAAAAATATAGGATATTTGTAAAAAATCGATTTTGTACCAGTAAAGTGGAGAGAATAAATCAAAATATAAATATCAGATGTTAATAGGGCTAAATTTGATCTTCGGTATATTCTTGGAAGGCTACTCTGGTAAGTAATTTTCAAAATTATAAGTATACTATTTTGTTTGTTTACAACTTTTTTTCTTTACAATTTATTTTAATTTATATAAAATTGGAACAACTATACAGTCAAATTACATATCAATTGTACATCAATAGAAATCAATTCAATTTTTGCAATAAAGTGGTTTACTTGGCTTATACCAATTGACCAATGCAATTTCGTAAATACAAATTAAGCTTAGAGAAACAGCGCATTTTGGGGAATTCTACAACTCTGAATGCCACAATAGGGATTAATTTTTAAATAAAATAAAACATAATAATAAATTCATTGCCATTTTAATAAACCATAGAAGTGGTTAATGCATAAAATAATATTATAGATATGGTTATATATAATATTAACTTTGTCTACATTATTATTATTATTCATTATACACAATGCTTGAGTACACGTTTTCTTACCTTGATCTAAATTAGTCACTTTGCATAATTTTCGATTTCATACGTTGCTGTTTGCTCATAACATAAACCAAAGATATACACACATTTTAGTAAAATTCATCACTACATTACCTATCAAATGTATACTGAAATAAAGGAAATTATTGTTCTAATTATGAATACAAATTTGAAATAGTATTACTTACTATAATATTATATTGCTGTTGTATAAATAATCATATTTAATAATGTTTTAAAATGAATATACAGGAATTCTAAAAATTAAATTCTTTTTTCTAATTGATGAGTTGTTTTAAAATGTCAATTACGTTAATAATATTTATCCCTATATTATAAACAATGAAGTCCACATTTCAAAACTATCTTTGTTATTTTTTAATATTAAGCAAAAATGGATTTTCTGTTAAAAAAAACATTTTAATTTTTAATGGTATTATTAATATTTACTAATTACAAATAAAAAATAACACCAACATATTTAAATATTTAAACAATCGAAAAATTCAGTAAAGACAACATAGTTATAGTAAGTTATATTAATATAGTTTTTATTAGGTTTCAAAGAATTTTTTCGTTAATGGAGTTTAAATTTTAAAATATGTAATTTTACTTTTTGACCGTATGTGACCATCATAATTTATATTACTTGGGCATCAAAATAATTTAAATTAATTTTCTGGGTACGTAAATGAAAAAATTCAGTAATTAAACTAAAATAACGCAATTTAACATTTTACAAGTGATGCATAACAATGAATTGTGAAATTTTCAACGTATTTATTATTGATTAGTTTGAAACGCTCAATGTATTGTTCTTGTATTAGTATTCTACACGTAGTGTAGTAACATTTTATCTATAAAAAGTGATGTTATGATATAAGTATTGAAAAAATGAATAATTTTTATTTATAATTTGTTTTTTACATAATATAATTTAATGGATAGTTTTTTAGTCTTCTATTGTGAATAAATCCAAGACCTTATAGAACATCATTATTGTATCTGCCAATAACTATGTTATTCCGTATCTAT